TGTTCCATAGTTGCAAACATCATAGCAAATGTTGTATTTATTACTGTATCTTGTATACTTACTATATCTGTTGCAACATATCCACTACATTCACCACTTCCGTAGGCTTAATAATAAGTACTACCATTTGGTTAAAAATATTCTTATCCATTAGGATTATATCTAGTTGAAATATCACATCTTGAACAATCAGTGTAAGGAACCCATAAAATATTAGAGCCTGTATCAATTTAGACTGTAAAATTTTGAGCTGGAACACCTATTGAAATATAAACTAACCATAAGGTTTATTCATAGTTCTCAAGGGTTGAATTCATACTCAAAGTTCCTTAAACAGTATTCCAATTAGTTTAGGCGTAGTTGGTGTTCTCTCCAAAAATTGAAACCACTAATGATGTAATTAGTATTAACTTTTGCATTAATATAATAAATAATAAACTTGTTATATATATTGATTAATATTTTATAATACAATATTTATTTATTTAATAATCATTAATGAATAAAACTTAGTAATCTTGGAATTAGAATTATTTTTATTAAATCTTTAATCAAATAAATTAATAAACTAGAATAAGAAAGATTTATTAAATTCTATACAACTACGCTTCTGATTTTCTATCATAAACTTTGGTTAAATTGCTTTTTAAAGTTTTTAGAGACACAAGAATTATTTAAAATAAAGTTATAAAATAATAAACCCTCTCTCTCTCTATTAAATAAATTTAAATTATACATAAGCATAAGGATTACTTCAAAAATTCAAAAATATTTAAGTATTTTTTATTTTGGAAAAATATTAATTTATATTAAAACAGCCATATATTACCAATTTCTAAGAACTAGTTAAATTTATATTAAAGACTTTTGTTTATATTGTAATTATATTAGTTATGTAATAAATAAAGTAGAAAAATTATTAATTTCTTTTAGGGAATTAAACGCAAATAATATCAATTAAAAGTATTAAATATAATAATCAGTTAGTCACTTTCATTAAATTTACATGATAACTAAAGATACAAATTTGTGAGTAAATTTCTCTAAAAATATTTTGAATAATTCTAAATATAAACTTAGATATAAAAACAGTGATGTATTTATTGAGGTGTCTCTATTTATGTTAAAAATTCTATGAGAAATTCTGTTTCACTAATTAATGTAATAAACATAAAAATCTTCAAAATAAGAAATTACATAAAAGTAAATGTCTTAAAGCTACTTCAATATTAATTATTTCTAATGTTAATAAATGATTATATTTAATATTAATTAAATTTGCCAAATAATAATAATCTGTGCACATTCTGTTGAATATATATTTAATGTTTAATTAATATGATATATATCTTAAATTATTATTACAAATTATCAATTGATATATATGGGTACTTAACTAAAGTTAATTTATATTAGCTAGATAAAGTACTGCCACAAAGAAGACATAGAAAGTTAAGAAATAAACTACAAAAAAGGTTTCAAAAGTGATCTAGAAGAAAGTGCCTAAAAAGGTAGTAAAGAAAGTTCTACCCAAAAAGGTTGTACCTGCAAAAAAGAAAGTTGTTCCTAAAAAAACATAAAAATAAACAGTAGCTAAGACAGCTCCTGTTAAAAAAGTTGTACCTAAAAAAGCTAAGGTTGTTCCCGCCAAAAAATAAGTTTCAAAAAAATAGAATGTTAAAGAATAGAAAGATGATAAAAAGAAAGTGTTAAAGCCAGTTACTTAAAAGGCTGATGCTACACCTAAAGTACCAGCTAAATATGCAGCATACACTTTAGATTAATATTAAGCTTATTAAAAGGCAATTAAAGAATGGTCAGCTAAAACAAATTAACAAATTAAGGATAATCTTAGAAAGAATTTATAGAGCATGACAGGAAACAAAGATGAATTATTGAATAAGATTGCTGATGGAATAGTATTAGGATCAATACCAAGATGTCCACATTGTTTTGGTGGAAGACCAAAATTTAATTAAGCTACAGGAACGTAAAATATTAAAACTTAATCTTAGTTATTTCTGTGTTGGATATAGAGATGACACTGATTTTAAATTCTGCAATAAAGCTATATTAAATTTGGATAGAACTCCTTGGTAGCTTTGAATTATCAATTAAAAAAATACAAAAACATAATGTTTGCACTAAGGTACATCACTATATATTTAATGATTTAATAGTGTTTATGCCTATTCCATCCATTCCATCCATTCCATCCAATTCATCCAATTAATATTCTAAAATATTTTAATTCCATCCCTATATGTCTTTTTATTTTATCATTTTTATTTTTATTATTTTTATTATTTAATGAAGTAAATTTAAAGTTAATTTAATCATCAACTAATAGGAAAGATTCCCAATCAATTGAGTACATATTATTTATTATTAAGGTAGTTCATATAGAAAAATTAATGATCGTATACTAGCTTATTAAAATAAAATATAAGTCACAAAAGATAATAATTAATATGACTTAAATATAATTACTCCAGGATATTTAAAATGCAATAAATTTTAATATATGTTTAATTGGAAAATAAATTTTATTGATAGTCAACTTTGCTAATTTTCTAAAGATGAATTTTATTAAATTTATTTATACAATTGTTTTCTTTTAGGAGATTGTTATAAAGCCAATAGTTTATCTTATATATAATAAAAATATAGACCTTTTGAATCATATTTTGATATTAAGAATGAGAACAGAAATAATATATTATTATATGGAGAAAATATGAATGAATTTAATTAATTTAAACTATCAAATTCAGTTCAAAATGAGTTTACAGATTTTAATAGAATTTATGTTAATAAAAGAAATCCATTTGTATCATTTTCAGTTTATGATATCATTAATAGTAATGATAAGGCAATATAATATTTCTAGAAATTGATTTAATAAAAAGCATTTCAGAATATAGATGAAGCATTATAATATTATGGAGTAACTCTAAAAGAAATAGAAGAATTAAATGTTCATTAATTATTACATTTAGATAAACTAATACCTGGAAATGTACAATCATATAGATAGAATTATCAGAATTTTCATGAATATATAGCTTTTAGTGCATATACTTTACATATAAATTAATTTCATAGAAATGTACCAAATATGGCATTTAGCACTAATGAATGTGAATAATGTAATTCATATAATCCAGCAGAATATTGTACATCACTCAAACCTATCCAACCTTTAAAGTAACCTTAATTAATACCAATTTAATAATTATAAGAATATCCTTTAAATTATAAAACATATGATATTATTTGCATACTCTATCATTCATTAATATGCTAATTTAAAATTTGGAGTCATCAAGATTCAGTTGAAAGCATATTAAATTTTTAAGTGGTTGAAGAATCTATAGTTACTTCATCATCAAATTTCAAAAGAAACTATGAAAATTTAGAATTATTGGGTGATTCTGTTTTGAAATATGTTGTAACTGTAGATATCTTTAAATAATATGAATTATTAGATGAAGGAGAAATGACATCTTTACGTAGTCGTTTAATAATGAATACCTTTTTGGCTTAATTATTTGAATAATTAGGTCTAGAATAATATATAATAAATTAGGATTTACATTTCAAATAAATTCGAAATCCATTAGTCAATGATATTATATCTAGTGAAAATAAACAATTATAAATTAGTCAAAAAGCAGATATTTATGAAGCAATTATTGGTGGAGTTTTTGAAGTTACTCAAAGTCTATATGAATATATTACTATTTTGAGAAGAACAAACTTTCCTATATCCTTTTATTAAGATATTCTCTTTGATTTTCAGCCAATACCAGATTCAATTGAACAGATTGATATCAAAGATTATCAATTTAATAATCCTCAATTATATGAAATTGCTATTAATCCATTATAATATGATAGATTAGAGTTTTTAGGGGATGCTGCTATTGAATTACTTGTTATAGCATATATTTTTAGAGTGGCAAGGGAAAAACAATTAAAAAATCCAAATTGGATTTTAAATCCAGGAGTATTATCAAATTGGAAATAATTATTATTGGGTAATAAATTTATGGGAGAATAAACTATTAAAATGGGTTTAAAACCTCATATAGATGAAATACCTAAACTATATGGTGACATATTTGAAAGTGTTGCTGCTGCCATTCTTCTTGATAGTGGATGGAAAGGATTGAACCAAGTTTATGGAAGTTTATACAAGAAATATATGGATGAAATTATTGAATAGTGATATAATTATTAAACTCATTATATGAATAAAAAAAAAAATTTAGGATGGGACATTGAAGAACAAGAATACTTAGATAGTTTAATATCTGGCAATTTACCAAGAATAGAAAATAGACATGTAGAAAGCTAAAGTCATAGAATTAAGTCTATTCTAGATTCAAAAATTATTAAATGTTCTTCTTCTGTTCAACCTAGCTAAAATAGTAAATCTACTTAAATAAGCACTTAAACTACTTAAACAGCATTTTAAAATTTACTTACTTCATATTTCTAATGTCCAATTACTTTAACAAGTTATCATGCATTAAGATATCCTCCATTATAAGATATTGTTCATAAATCAACTAAAAAGTCATAAGGTCCTTTAAAAAGAAGAAAATATAAATGTAGTATAATTAATTTAAGTCAACCTTAAATTTTAAGTCCATAATCAAATAATAAGCTCTACAATGTAAATAAATATATTTAATAAAAATATTCATGTATTAACTAATTTTGATACTATTTATATTATTTAAATAACTAAATTATTATGATCAAAATTACAATACTCATCTTGATTTATTATATGTATTTATAAGTGACTTTCGTTTTATTTATAAATATATGTTTTTTTTTTCTAAATTTTATTTTGATTAAATGATATATTTTATTACTGAAATTAAGTAAATAATAAATTTGTTTCACTTTAATATTACTATTTATTTTTATTATTTAATATATTTGTTTTTCTTAATAAATTAAATGTATAATATATAAATATAATTAATTCATTAACATAATTATTATAATTGTTCAAAAGTATTTTATTATAGTTCTAATTTGACATCATTTATTTTTAATATTATATCATTCATGAGATTAATTGGTATTTTTATTTTGGCTGGCTTTAATTAATTTATTGCCAACTTATTACATTCAAATTTTAGATAATCTTTCTCTTAAGTACAGGATATTCCTGCAAGTGGATAAGTAAAAGTAACAATACCTCGATTTGGATTAGAACAAGCAATAGTTTAAATTATATAACCTTACTCTGAACTTATTATTAAATACTTAAAATAATAATAAATATTTTACAGTTCTTTTATCATCAATTTAAATATATAAATCATCTGTTAGATGAGATATCTCTTAATTTGGAACATATTTGGCATTTTATGGCTCTTTTTTGAAATTCATCACTAAACATTTCAAGAGTAGCCATATATAAACTAATTTAAATTGATTTAGTTCATTCTCATTTACCCAATTTTATAAATCATCAAATGTAATAGTAGGCAAAGACTTCTTAAAAGTATTCCAATCAAAATTTTATATAATTTCCCAATTTATTATTAAATCTTATGATAACTAAGATTTATCATTTTTAGCATTAATTATCAATTATTTTACTTTATTTTCATATTCTTGATAAATTTATTTAAGTTTATTAGTATCTTCATTTATGAAAAATAAGATTATAAAATTAATTACTTTTATTGAATGCATTATTTAATTTTATGGTTATGATAATAACTAAATAAAAGATTAAACTTATACTTCAATTATTTGATTAATTGGCCATGGTTTTTAGTGACTCTTTATTACTTACCAAATGGCTAATTAGAGTAATAATATACTATTATCTCTATGCTTAAATATAATTAATACTAACATACTTTTAAAAGATGAAGCATCTAATATTTGTAATTATTATTAATAAGATTGTTTTGTGATTGATTCCCAATAATTTGGTTTTAATTTTCATCTAAATATACTTATTCAAATTCTTTTTTGTAATCCTATATTTCATACACCCAATTTACAGATTGATTTAAATGATATTTTAAGATTGTATAACTTTCATTTGGTATTTTATCTTATGAAAAATAAATAAAGATGTTTTTCAATGGTAATTTGTATAGGATTTGATGTAAAAAGTAGAATCCTAATTTAAATTCAATCTTAATATCTGTTTTTTTATTTAATAATAAATAGTTCATAATTGGTAAAATTAATTCTTGAAGTAATATTTACTCAAAAAGTGGAATTAAGAAAGGACATTAATTAAGGAGATCATTAAAGAACATAAATAATTCTTCAAATTAGTTTTAGAATTCTGATTGAGTGATATTTGGTAATATATATTTGATTTTTTGAATATATTTATGGTATGCTATTATGAATGGAGAATTTAATAGATAGTTCTTGAATTTTTAAATGATTAAATTTTCCTATTTTATAATTGATTAAGTTAAAGAGACATCTATAGTTAAATTGCATACTAAAATTATATATACAAATTACATTTTGATATGCTAAGGATAATAACTTTAACAGTATTTTAAACTAAAGTTTCTGGATAATTAATAAACTTCTATGCTTACCAAAGTAAGGGGAATGAACAATAGCGTTAATTAAAATAGAGATAAATGTTTTCCCTATTAATTCTAATAGCAATAATTTTTAAAAAATTAACATAAAATTCTACCATTTCTTAATCAGAAAAATCATATTCATGATTGATGAATTCATTTAAGACTGGATTACTTAATAAATAAGTGATGTTAAGTGGATTTTTAAGATTTAAACTAAATATTTGAGTTGATTACATTATGAATGATATTTTGGATATTATAAAAATGGCTAGTTTACTAGATGAGTCAATAATTTTATCATAGAATAAAGCTAATATGTTATTTTCAGCTAAATATCTAGTTACATAAATAGGAATGATACTCAAAAATATCTTAATTTTGATGATCAGCAATGATATACATCTTAGAGAGTTATTCAATAAGATTTTTGATTTATGGGAACTCATTAGATGTCTTGAGAGATTTATGTAAATCTTATGCAATATTTAATTACATTAATTAAATTATTAATATGTCAGCACTTGAGTTAGCACGCAAGAAAATATCATTTGATGTAAACAAGTTGTCACACTTCATTTGGGAAGGAGAAGAAAGATTCAAGAGATTCATGGCATTTTAGAAGTTATGTAGTTCTGATCCTCTTCTTCGTAATAATCCAAAAGACATTGGAATTGGAAGAGCAGAAACATATGAATTATATGCTAAGAAAATGAAGAAGTTATTGGAAGTAGCTGACTTGCGTGATATCAAAGAGTTTGCAACCTTGATCTATCCAGAGGCTGTAAGATATTGATATTATGGTTAAATAGTTAGTATCATCATTGAATTATGAAATGTTCATGCCCACAATATTGAATTTGGGTACAGATGAATAAGTGAAGCTATTTTATGAACCAGCATCAAGATGGGAGATACTTGGTTGTTATTCATAAACAGAATTAGCACATGGTTCAGATATAAATAGAATTGAAACAACAGCCACATATGATAAATAAACAAAATCTTTTATAATTCATACACCATCATTAAAAGCTACTAAATGGTGGGGTAGTGATATGGGAATAACAGCTACTCATGTAGTTACTTAAGCTTAATTGTATATTGATGGTAAAAGATGTGGAGTATAGAATTTTGTTGTATAAATAAGAGATGTAAAAACTCATCAAACACTTCCAGGTATTCTTGTAGGTGATATTGGTGCAAAATTTGGATACAATGCAAAAGATAATGGATATTTAAGATTTGATAATGTTAGAATTCCAAAAGTTAATATGTTAAGCAAATATGTAAATGTTTCAGATGATGGTCAATTCACTAAAACAGGAGATGATAAAGTATGGCATGCTACAATGTAATTAATGAGATAACATTTCTTGGATTCAGTTTGGAAATGTCTAGGAATTGGTCTAACTATTGTTATTAGATATTCATTATAAAGAAAATAATTCAAAGATGCTTTAGGACAAGAAATTCCTATATTTGATTATCAACTTTAATAACATAAATTGATTCCTTTAATTGCTGAAATGTATGGATGTATGTTAGGAAGTAAAAGAGTTTTTGCTATGGCATAAGATAATGTTGCTAGAATCAAATAAAAGAATGATTTCTCTAAAATGATGGTATATTTTTTGATTCATTTTTAGGAAGTACATGTTGTCTTAAGTGCTTCTAAAGCCTACTATACATGGAATTGTTTCTTTGCTTTAGAAAAGGTTAGATAATGTGCTGGTGGACATGGTTATTCCTATTATTCTGGAATCCCTCCACTTATTACTGAAATGAGTCCTTGTGTTGTTGCTGAAGGTGATAATACAGTTTTATCTTTATCTGTTGGTAAAGTCTTATTGATGTATCTCAATAAAGGTATTTTTATTCTTTCTATTCATATAGCCATGTAATCAGGAAAGGCTCCTAATACAACTTGTGATTATTTGGAAGACATTTTTAATTATTTGACTGAACTCAAATAACCATTAATCTCAAAAGAGTGCACTAGAGATCTCAATAAAGTTTTGGCTGCTTTAAGATACAATGTTGCTTTCAATGTTGCTAATGCAGGATAAAAATTACAAACTCTCATGGGTGATAAGGGATTAACATTTAAGGAAGCTACAGACAAACATTTAGGTATTCTCTTATAAGAAATTGCTCATACACAATCAAATTATTGGACTTTCAGAACTTTTGTTGAAGAAATTAATGCTTTGACTGATCCAAATATTAAGGCTGTTCTAAGTTAATTATGTTTATTGTATGGTCTTAATAAGATACTTGAATAATAAGGATAATTGTTTGAATATGGAGTTTTAAGTGGTCCTCAATTTGTATGGATCAGAGAAACTAGAGATGAACTTATTTCAAATTTGAAAGATAATGCATTAGGATTAGTTGAAGTAATTAGATTGTATATACTTTTTAGTCTATTGGATATGATGATAATAGTGTAAGATCAGCTATTGGAGATTCTTAGGGTAATCCATATGAGAAATTATATCATTGGGCTAAGGATCTTAATCCATTAAATGAGCCAGAGTTCCATGAGTAAGTTTTTAAGACGATTAAGACAATCAGAACAGCATCTCCACATGCTAAATTATGATTAAGATTAACAAATTATTAGATAACATTATTTTCTTCATTTTTTATATCCTTCTATTGGAATAACGGAATTAGTGATAAGCTATCAATAAATGCTTTTATATTAATTTTTATTAATTAAAAATGGAAGGATATTTAAAGAAATGGACTAACCTTTTTTCAAGGTGGTAAGATCGTTACTTCATTCTCAATGAAGATGTTCTTCTTTATTGTGATTCTCAAGGAGGACAGATAAAAGGATAGGTGCATTTAAAAGTTGCAGCTTTAATTTTAGTACCAGAAGACCCTTTAAGAATAATAATCAATACTGGAACAACAGAAATCCATTTAAGAGCAAATAATATTAATGAGAAGATAGATTGGATAAATGCATTGAAATCTGCTTAAGATAAGTGTTTGAGTCGATAAAGTGAAATAAAGTTTGAGTAAAAGATACAAGAATTGCTTACTGATGTTTGGTAGACTGGAGCAATATGTATGATAAATAAATGATTGTAGTTGATGAAACATTGAGTATGTTGATTCCTAAATTGGAAAAGAACTCATAAATTAAAGAGATGGCAGATAGATTAGAAAACATTGGAAAAAATCTAAAAACGAAAATCACTTTATGTGCTCAAATTGTTGAAGAAGAGAAATAAAAATTATCAAATTTAGAAAATGGAACTGTGTATGAGAGTTTTATTCATCAAAATTCAGCTTAATCAGTACTACGAGAGGATTTATTGAATCATTAACATCATCCATAACATGGTTAACCATAATTATTGAGTATAACTGATATTGCTTAACAAATTCAAAATTAACCTATAAAATATGTACTTAAAGAATTTGTTATATTAGTTTTTAGAATAATCTAATTAATAATCCTGCTTTTTAGAAAATTAAATTTACAAATAGTATAAAAAGAGATAGATTACCATATAAAAAGGATCCAAATGAAAAAATAAATGTTTGGTATTTGTGTAAAGAATTAATTGGAAAGGATTTAGGAAGATTTTCAGTACCAAGTAATTAATTCAATTCTAAAAAAAATAGTTATTTTGAATGAGCCTTTATCTATGTTATAAAGATTAGCAGAATAAATGGAATACTCTGATTCATTAGAAGAAGCAGACAAAATTATTGGAGATAGTGCATTAAGAATGTGTTATATAATGGGTTTTGGTGTCTCACCTTATTCAGCAAATATAGGAAGAACAAAGAAACCTTTTAATCCTATTCTAGGAGAAACTTATGAAATATAAACTCATAATTGTAGGTTTATTAGTGAATAGGTATCACATCATCCTCCTATTTCTGCAGGATATGCAGAATCAAAAACATTTTAATTTTGGGCTCATACAGATGTTCAAACAAAATTTAATGGTTTATGTTTCTAAGTTAATCCTGTTGGATTATTTAATGTTATTTTGAAATCATCAAATGATCATTATCAATTTAATAGATGTACAACTAAAGTTTAGAATATTTTATGGGGTTAATAATATTTAGATCATATGGGATAAATGAAATTTGTAAATTTAACAACTGGTGATAATGGAGTATTGGAATTAATTGAAAAATCAGGTAAATCAGAATCTGAAATGAGAGGATATGTTAAAGATAAAAATGGAAATGAAAAATATAAATTAAAAGGATTTTGGAATGATCGTCTTATAGCTTATGATTCTTAAAGAGAAATTATAGTATGGAAGAGACATCAATTGCCATAAGATTCAGATTGGTATTATAATTTTACTGAATTTGCAATGTAACTTAATCATTTAACAATTGATATGATAAAAGTAATAAAAATGATTAAATTACAAAGGAATTACCATGTACAGATTGTAGATTAAGACCAGATTAATTAGCATTTGAAAATGGATGGATTGATTTGGCTTCAAGTGAAAAACATAGATTAGAAGAGAAATAAAGAGCACGTAGAAAAGCTATGGCAGCAGCAAATTAAGTTCATGTTCCAATGTTCTTTGAAGAAATGATTGATCCTAAAACTAATTTGAAATGGTATAAATATAAAGGGAATTACTTTTAATAATAATGGAAATAAATTGGATAAGAATTGTTGGATTTATTTTGATTAATATGAATAACAATAATTAAATTGTATATTTAAAATATTGTTGTTTATAGTCTCTATCTTATATAAATTTTTTAAGATATTTTTCATTATGTATAAAGATCTTTCTTTTATGTTTCCTTTATAAAAAGATAGTTACTAGGAATAAGATGATGGTTATTTACACATTTACAATATCAAGAATGAATCTAGAAAAGCTATTGGATTCTTAATAAAAGCACTTCCCTATCCAATCAAATATAGTGAAGATTTAAAAGAAATGCCTAAAATTGGAGATAAGATGAAGAAGTAGATATGTAGAATTTTGGGTATTGGGCTAACAAGCGCTGCTACCTTCTATTTTAAAGGAATTAAAACTCTTGGGGATTTGAAAAAGAATTGAAATTTACTCAATAGAAATCAATAAGTTTGTTTGTATTTAGTGGAAGATTTAGAATAAAGGATTTAAAGAGAAGAAGTTACCTTAATATATTAGATTGTTAAAAGAGAAATCGATGATGAATATGTTGAGTATAAAGATTATATAAGACAATTGCATATGGATTTTATAGAAGAGAAAAAGAAGCATTTGGAGATATGAATATTTTAATTACAATGTGTGATGGTAAAAATACTGAAGATTTCTTATTTAATTTGATCAAACAATTAGAGGAGAAATTGTTAAACTATCATTTCAAAATGCAAAATAGAACTGATCATGATTGTAAAACTTATATGGATATTGAAAAAAAGTATCTAATAAAGCTATGCATAGCAGGATTGATATTTAAAACTGTATCCAAAAGAACAGTATGGTTGTGCAGTTTTGTAATTCACTGGTTCTGATTGTTTTAATAGAGGCACGAGATTGTAGAGTCAAAAAATGGGTACACTTTAAGTGATCATGAATTATACTCTAATTAGAAAGATGTTTATAAGATGAAGTTGCGGAAAGAAGAAGTAACTCTATGTGAAGAAGAAATGGATGTATATAAGATTTTAGGATTGATATACAAACCCACTAAGGAGAGATCAGTATGATTTAATTTTTATTTTGTTTTTGTTTTAATTATTTACTCGAACAAGATAGAAAAATATACATCAAGTCAATCAAATATATTCAACTATGCTGCTCTAAAGCGTATTCTATCTATGAATTCAACCGATAAAGGGGGATTGGCAACAATTAATTGTAGCAATTTTCTGATTCCTCTGAAATTCCAACTCCTAATTTTTCTTCTTCGAAAAAAGTATTTGTATCTATAATTGAATATGATTTCTCATAATTTATAGGTCTCAATGCACTTTGACTAGACATCTCTTCAATTTTAACTAGAGGAGTTGTTATTGTTTAATGTGCTTCTTTTTAAGAGATTACTGAAAACACTGACACAAGGGTCAAGAGAGCAAGACTTATTTTACCTAATCTGGATCCACGACCTAATTGCTATAGAATTGATAGTTGATCTCTTATTTTTTAACTCTTATTTGTCAATTTTTGATGTTTCTCTTAAAGTTTTTCTAGTTGTTTTCTTAGTTCAGCATTATAGTCAAGTTCTTTTTGTGCTTGTGATTCTAATTGATGTAATTATTGTTTTTTTCTATCTCTTGAGTTTTAGGCACTTATCCTATTACGTATCATCTATATAGTTTTCTTATCATTTTCTCTTAATGGATCATCATCTTCCTTCTTTCTTTTTATTTTCTTACTACTTGACACAATTTCTGGTTCATCTTTTTACTTTCTTTATTTTGCTTTCTCCCTTCTCATAGTTCGCTTCATCTTTTCAACAAGCTTTTGGAAATCTTAAAAAATAATAGATAATTTAACTTACTTTGAGGATGTGATTTTTACATTTCTAATAATCCCTTTTCAGATGTTTATAAGGTTTCACTCATATATTCAAACAATTCTTGTTAGCTAGTGCTCATTCTAGAAAGATTTATATTATTTTATTGCATTAAAAAACGATAAATTTTCTTAGCTAAATACACCAACTGTGAAATAACTGCAATCTAATATTAATGTTTAACACATTAATTAAATCCATTTTTTATTATTCATTTAATTACAAGCATCTTAATCATCATCCTTAACAACTATTAGATTCAAAATGAATGATCTTTCAAAATATCATTTCTTTAACTAAATTTCGTTTTTAAATTATTATTTTACTAAATATAAAAATAAAACTTAAGAAACACTTAGCTTTCAAAATATGATGTCGTTTTTGATAAAATAATTAAGAAACTAAAAATATGCTTAATATTATTAGAGTTCAATTAACATTATGTTAAATACTTTGATTTTTAAATACAAACAACTTTAACATTATTACTATTATTAAAATTAGAACTATGTGAGTAAAAGAATAAAATCTTTTGTTTTATTTTCTTATATGTTTTAGATAAGAAAATAATATATCATATTAATGATATAACTGCTAATCTTAACTTGTATATTGCTATTCTATGTTTGGAAACTATTTGATCTTGTAATTAGATAAGATTAATTATAAATTTTTGATCGTTTTTCAATTATTAATATATAATATATTCATGAAGACACTAATTCTCACAGTGCTAATTTGCTTTGGTGTTTCATAAATGTTGAGAGGCTCACCAAAATCTTTGATTGAAGAAGAACAAGGTAAATGAGATGTTTTAGAAAAGCAATCTTCTAAGCCGAATAAGAGGATTAAAGTTTTTATGTTGGAAGAGATGATGTCTCAGCTGAAACTCTATAAGGAGATTAAAATTAAGAGGTTGAAGCTAGTTTAGCAGTGTTTAAGAGTGATGATAATCCAATGGTTTATATTGAGGAATCAATTGATTCAAGTATTTAATGAAGTTAATTAAAGCTCAATAAGATGGTTTTCAGTAAAAGGAATCTTTGTAGATTGAAAAGATTTAAGATTAATTGCAGTAATAATAAAAATGATAATAAAGAGTTGAAGAGTTATAGGAAGCAAAGACAGATTAAGCAAATTATGTTGATAAAGCAATATCTTTAGAGGGAGATACTGAAGCATAACCTATTTAGAATTCTTCAACAGATGTGGTTTTAAATATTGCACCAAAGACAGAGTCTCTTAGCAGTTCTGAGAATACTAAGAAACATGTTTATGTTTATAATCGTAAATAAGTTTCTAAATAATTTTAAGCATTGGCCAAGAAACCTTTTGTTGGTATTAAGTTCCCACCAATGCCAGTTACAAAGGATCATAATTATTTGTCTAATTCTGATACTTTAACAATTAAGTTACCACCATGGTCAGAACAAAGTAATCACAGAGTAGAGGATGATTTAGAGTTCTTCCAGTTTATTAGACGTATTAAACAATAAATTATGTAGCATCTGATGTATCAGTTAATGAATATTGATTTAATATTATTATATATTTCATTCTTTTTTTAAAAGTTAAGCATAACAAAAGTTATAATAATTATAAATGTAATAAGAGGAAAAGAAGAAAGGGGACTCTGGAAAACTGGAGACAATTGTAAGAATCAAATTATGAAATAGAAAATTATGAATGGATTCTCTGATAAGGAATGGAGTAATTTAGACAAAATTGAAAGAATTGAACTTACTCTTGAAGACTTTGGAAGAATGAATGTTATATAGATGTTCAAAAATTTGAAATCTTTAACATTAATAAATGTTGGTATCACTATTATTGAAGTATTGACTAATTTATTTAACTAGGGTTTAGATGATTTAACTAAATTGGAGGAATTAAATTTGAATGAGAATTAAATTGCTAAATTAACTGGTTTGAAATCAATACCCAATTTAAAATCTCTTTATATATCTCACAATGTGATTCAAAAATTAGAAGGATTAGAGTCATTAACAAAACTAGAAACATTGTGGCTTTGCGATAATAAAATTGATACAATTTAAAACCTAGATTAATTAATGAATTTGAAATAACTTTGGTTAGCAGCCAATTCTATAAGTAATCTAAGAACTTCTTTGGATAAATTAAAAAACTTATATGATTTAAATATAAGTGGAAATAAAATATGCAGTTTTAAGGAAGCCTTAAATTTAAATCGTTTACCAAATCTTAAAGTATTGGCATTTTATGATCCTCATTTTGGTGATAATCCTATATGTAATCTCTGTAATTATTAAACTTATGTACTTTATCATTTAAGAAACATATATAAATTGGACACTCTTATGATTTCTGATGATTAAAAATCTTTTGCTGAAGGAACCTTTATGAAAAAGAAGATGTATTATAATATGAGAATAAAAACTATGTAAAGAACATTTTCTACATTATGTAAATTATTAAAGAAAGGTAAGAAAATAAAAACTGATTCATTATGTGAGGATATATCTAATTTAAATATTAAATTAGCTTAGGAATAAGATAAAGAGAGATAATAACTTTTAGAAAATAAATATGAGGAATATGAGAATTAAAATGAAATTTATAATAGTATTAAAAAAAAAGTATATGAATACTGCAATTAAAGCATACATAAATTAATTACAGAATTAGAAACTGGAGGTAATATTAGATTGGAAGAAGGAAAAACAAATGAAAAATGGTATGGTTCTTGTGTTGATCTTATAAATTCAAGATTTCATGCAGAATAAATGGGTAAATTTGGTATTAAAGATATTCAAATAAAGAGAGTTGTTAGAATACATAATAAATTCATTAGAAATAAATTTGAAGAAAAGATGGAATCATTAGTTGATGTATCAAATCAGAGTCACAAAAAATCACTTGAATATCTATTCTATGGTGTTGATCCAAATTTTCCATCAGAAATATATAATGTAATAGAAGAAGGATTTAGAAGTTGCCAAGTAATTTATTTTATTTAATATTATAAGGATTCTCAATAAATAGGATTAAGTTCTTATACACCTTTGGTTAATAGTATTTTAGGGGCTGATGCACCAAGAATTCAACATCTATTAAATGGATAAGAACATGCTCAGAAATTAAATAAGAGATTTATTAAACGAAAGTATTAATTCAATTATTTATATATATATAGATTATACTATTAAAAATATAATGTGATTCCACCTGGTGTAATTCTTATTTGCAAAGTTTTAATGATTAAATCAGTTTCTGATTCAAAATTCCCATATTTTAATCCTGAATAACCATGGAGTGAGATGTATTAAAAAGCTCCTGTTGATACAAAATAATATTAAGATGAATATACTGTTTTAAGAGTTATGGAAAATGATCCAAAACATAAATTATGGTTTGTACTTGACAATAATCTTGTATTACCTGAATACTTTGCTGAATTTGAATATGTTATGTAATCTCCACTTTAAAATAAAATTGCTGATTTTGGATCTGCATTAGGAGTTTTAGAATCAGAAGAAGATGATTTCATTACTCCTGCTAATATTAATAAATATAAAGACAATATAAATGATTTATATAATTAATTAGCTGAAGATTTAAATAATTATCAATTTGAGAATTTAGAAGAATATCCAACTTATGAATTGAAAGCTTAAGATTTAGATAGATCAGAATGTGCATCTCTAAAACCTGCTTTGGTGAATTACTTCAAATATTGTTTAAGTAGATCAACACTTTATGAATTAAATCCTAATTTGGTTGGTACACCAAATTTAAATGAAATATTGAAGAATTAAACTTAATTCTTAAATTTAAGTAATTGTTCTGTTTAAGATATAACATTTGTAAAAGGATAATTTCATACTCTCATACTTAGTTATAACAAAATAAGTAATATAACAGGTTTAAATGAATTACCAAATCTAATTAGACTTGATTTATCACATAATGAAATATCTAATCTTAATGGTCTATAAGGTTTAAATAATTTAGAAGTCTTAGATTTAACACATAATAATATACAAGATGTTGATTAAGTAGGAATTCTTAAATACAATTAAAATTTGAAATATCTATCTGTAGTATTTAATCCAATAGGTGAATATAAAGAAACAAGAAAGGAGATAGTTATGATCCTTAATAATTTAGCATTTTTAGATCATTTACCTGTAACAGAGGAAGATAGAGAGC